TATAATTCAGTTTAAAAAATAACGCGAACTAGTCCAAAATTGCATTTTTTTAAACTTATGTATACCGCATTTTGGTTTACTTTACTAAATTATTTAACAATGCAAAAAAATATTTTTTACTTCTTAAAAAAATGATTTAGAATTTTGTTTTATGTCTCAAAAATTCATTTGCTTGGCATTGGATATGGAATACTTAGCAAGTTGATCTTTTTTACAAATTAATTGACCTAAGTATAATCTTTATTAAATTGTTAGTAAGAAAAATGTACTTTAGAAATTATAATTGCCAAAAAGCAACTAATATATATCGTACAAGATTATGAAAATTACAGGCTAAATTATTGAAGCAATTATGTTTTATGGTAAATTCAAGTGTGATATTGTTCTTTTGCCGCAAATACTATATTATTTTTTTTCTGAATTTTTGAATGCTAAGACCATAAATGAATCACAAAGGCAGGACATCAAATAGGATATTAAAAATATAGGATAGGATAATAAAAATTTCGGACCTTTTGTATTATAGACGTAGGTACAAATATATTTGAAAATATTTAATATCCTTTGAATATTTTATTGTGGTACGGGAAGTCCAAGCAATTCGCCTTAAGACACGATGCCATACACCACCAGTTTATCTATTTATTATTCTATTTTTGTAGCCTGAAAGCTGTCCATCGCTCCACCTATTAGCCCTTCTACTATCGGCCAGTGGGCGGCCTGCAGACGCCATCATGGCTCTCGACGCTGCCTTAAGGGAGCACCCCGACGCCTGGACTTCGTTAGAAGCTCGAGCCAGGTTAGAATTGGCAGCAGGTGAATCAGAAAAAGCCTTATCGACTGCTAGGGAAATGTTGACTCTTTGGCGTGGAGCTAAGGAGGCGTGGCTCCGGTCAAGCCGGGCTGGTTCTGCTGGAGCCATAGGCGAGGATGAAGAAGATGGCATCGGAGCACCGAGCGTGGTGTACGCACATTCTGCACAACTATCGGATAAGGTAAAAGGGTAATGGATTTAGTAATTAAAATTGATTTTTGAAGTAAAACTTCTTTGGGCGTGACTGGGGTGTAAATCCGTACAAATGCAACGGAAGTCCGAGAACTGTTCGTCATTCGCTCTCGATGAAATCATTTCAATACGGGTCGATTGTGATTAGTTGTCGTGTGTGTGAATAGAGATCTGTCGTTGTATGTTTTTTATAATTTTCTTTTTTAGGATTCGAGTTCACTGCAGGCAACAGCGACTGGGGGCTCCTCTTTAGCGGCAGTTAAAGTCGAACGTGCTATGAGTGAGGCTGCTTCGTCGCTGAGTTCACTTTCTCCTCAGCAACGATTGCGTGGACAAAGAGCCGGATCAGGCCCTGATGATTGTTTTGGTCCAGTTAATAAACTTAAGGCTTTACAACTAGGAATCTGGTTACTTTTGTCGGAGGTAATAGAAGAAGAGAAAAATAATTTTTGTTAAGTAATACTTTTTACAATCTTGCAAAAGAATGAAAACTTTAAAAATTTTAAATAAAATTAATTAATCTTATATATATAAAAATGAATCGCAAAATGTGTTGGTAAGCGCATAACTCAACAACGCCTGAACCAATTTGGCCAATTCTTTTTTTAAAATGTTCGTTGATGTCCAAGGATGGTTCTTACGGTGAGAAAAATACGAATAATCGTCGGGAAAACCCTAAAAACAGTCTTTTCCTTTTCTCATACAAACGTTTAATAAATTTATGACTATGAATCAGAAACATGAAATGTCTACATTATTATTGCCAAAAAGCAGCTGAGATGTGCCAGAAATTAATATAATATAAAATACAGTATATGTATGGCAGATTATGAACACATATGAACACATATGAACAGGATATGACAAAATAATTTACTTGAAATATGATATTAAGTATTAATCAGCACTGGTCCTACTTTTAATGCGATGCATGCGAAAAATACGAGCGCACGCCTTAGGGGGCGCCAACACAAGATTCGGATATTAAATTTTCAGTATAGTTTTTTTTCAATATATCATTTCTTTGCATCTTTTACTAATCTTACTACAATATTTTTAAAATTCGTAAAAATTTTACTTTATAACAACAAATAGGAAAGTAAAGATGAATACATACAATTCGGCCCTCACGATATCGATTAGGAGAAGTTTAGGATGCAATTTTGGATATCTTAAATAATAAAATATGCATTTTGACGTGAAGTGTAATTTAAAAAACAATAATTATTATTTTTAGGTAAACGGTAAATATTAGTATATTATATTAAAAAATTGTAGACATGGGTACAGGACAACGTCTGTCAGGTCATCTAGTTAATTATTAAAATGAAATTGTTTAATTCATATTAAGCCATAATTAATTCTTGTGAATAATTAGAATGTTTTTAACTTCTTGTATTAATTTAGAAAAAAAAAATTGCAAGTAGAAATTTTCATTTTTCATTTATCTTAACATACAAATATTTTTCAGATATATCTGTCAATGGATCGACCAGATTCAGCAGAACAATGTGTAACAGAGGCAGCTGCACTTAGACCACTTTCAAGAGGTGTCATGCACGCCAGAGGATCTTTACTGAAACATGCAGGAAGGTAAAAAAATATTTGATTGATTATAATATATAGAACCTAAGAAGGCTCAAGTGGAAACTTCAATTCGAAAAATGGTGTAAAATCACTTTCAATATATAATGACTTGATGACTTTTTTACTGATTCATCACTTGTTAATTTATGTTTTATTGTGTTCGATTTAATTCAGTATTAGAGCTTATAAATTTCTATCAATTTCTCTGATTATTTATATAATTTTGTCAATTGAAGAAAAACATACAGGAGTATTATATATGATTAAAAATGTACTAATAGAATTAAAAATCTTTTTTATGAATCACAGAAACATATGTTAAGTACATAAGGATTTCTTTTATCAGGTGGCAAGAAGCAGCAGCATTTTATGCGAATGCTTGTGCTATAGATCCTCAGAGTGCTCTCTCTCTCCGTGAACTGGGAAGTGCTCAATGTGCTTTGGGCAGGCATAGACTAGCCGAGAAAACGCTAAGGTAAAATTTTAATATATTTATGCTTCTTATAAAAGGTCGGATTTTACATTTCAAAATATTTTTATTGGAAAAATCTTGAAAAGAAAAAAATAAGGGAAATGAGAACTGTTGAATTTGGTCTTTTAAAAAATTGAAGATTATTTGATCTAGTAGATCAAACAGTTGTATTACTAGGACATCAGTTGTGTTAAAATAAGTTGTGAGTTGAAAATTGGTCTTTTGAAAGTCAAATTTCTTGTTTTTTTTGTTAAGAATTCGATTTGGAAGATAAGTGGAAGCGTTTAGGATGATTCTTTATAAGTGACAACGTGCTTGCAAAAAATTTACAGAAAATGACGAATAAGTTAAATTGGCGATAAATTCAAATTTTAATTATTTGAACTGATTCACAAGTTTAAATTTATTTGAGGAGCCTGCTTAAAAAATCGCTTATTTTAAGGAATTTTTAGGGAAGGAAATAAATATTTAATTAAAACGAAACTTTCAGGTTTTATTGTTATATATTGCAACATTCTTCTCGAATTTTTTTATATAAATATATATCATAATATGCCAGGTACAAGCATTTTGCAGGTGCGCCACGAGCATGAAGGTGATTTGGCGGGAAAGATGCAGGTCACAATTTCCATCCGGAACAAAAAAAATCAAAACAAATATATATTTTCTAGATTCTAGATTTTATTTGAACTTTAAATGAAATTTAGAAAAAAGTGAGAAATTCAACAATTTTTCTTAACTTCCAAAAAAAATCATGTTTTTTGACACAAAATTTCATTTTAGATTGTTTAAAAAGTGGATTAATTATAACTTTTTTTACGGTTTTTTAGGTTCAACTAAAAGAGGATTTAATCCTAAATACATTCAATTTTGTCTCGTTTTGATAGGACATTTGGTTTTTTGGTATCTTTCCCGCCAATTAGGAAGAATCAAAGAAATTAAAAACCGAGAAATATGGCGTCGAAGTTTTCGTTTCGCTCGTATACACTTGCTTGACGCTTGCATTTTTTTTGTAACTCCGAAAATATTTGGAATTTGTTTCTGAAATTTTAGGGATATATTCTTCGATAGTTGTGGAATACATTTTCACAAAAAAAATGTCGACTTTTTAAGCCTCTAAAGTTTGTTTCCCTCTTAAATATGATATAATTTGCAATTATACATAAAAATATGTACCATTTAGAAACAATGTTTTTAATTAAATTAATATTTTTAACAAAAATCACTAGGTACATTTTTTATGTATCGTTTAAATTTTAAGCTAGTTTTGGAAGGCATTTTTGCAAAAAAAAAACGATTTTTTAAGCTCCTCTCTTAACAACGCCATTCGTCACAAATTGTACCCCTAAATCCTTTCCTCAAATCGAGTTTTATTTATCATTCAGGGATGCCGCCAGGCTAGAACCCCGTGACCCTCGAGTGTGGTACGCCCTCGGTGAGGTTCTGGAGGCGCTCGGTGAGCATTCGAGCGCCGCCGATTGCATGGCAGCCGCGCTTGAAACAGGGCGCTCCGCCCCAGTCGCACCGTTTTCATCGCTGACTCCTTGCTTTGAGTAATAAACAAGTCAGATTGTTTAAATTATTAAGATACCGTTAATAAAACGCAGGCAGGAGTATGGAGAAGGGCGTATAGATATAAATTAGAGTTATATAATGGCAGAATTAGACTTAAATTAATTACAAATATAGAACCTGAGTTATATTGAAATGATGATATTGTCGAGGAGTAGTTTTTGTGTCCTAATATTGTTGTTTTATATAACTAAGGTTCTTTCAAGACAATTCCCAGTTTTTATATTTTGATGTATATATACATACTTTCATTACTATCTTCCATAATTGTTGTCGTTTACAAGTTCTTTCGAAAGCAATAAAATTATGGTGTTGTTATTAAAATAAGAATCTAAATAGTTCGTCAAGTATACACGTGGATTTTATAAAACTCGTCAAAGTAAAATCTTCAATTAAAATTCTTTAAAAAAAAATACCTGAATACAAATATCTCTTGTATCGAGGAAAGTTTCTATGATTTCATTACAAAATTATTTAGATCACTATGATAGTCGTACTGGTGCATTTACTATAAAAGGGTATGTTTTATTAGATCTTAAAATACTCAACCTTTCTTGCTGTATTAATTCTATAAGTAATTATAGGAAGCCTTTTGTACAACAATAATGATTTTAGACAATAGTCGGCCAAGCAATTTATTTTAAGGTTCGAAAAAGCACATCATGTTGAGAATGATTCACATTTCTTACTGGTTAAGAATGTTTCTTATATTAGAAATTTAATATATTACAAATTTAATATATTATTCAAATATATTTAATATATTATTATTAATAAATCATTCTTCAATATTCACGTTTCGAACGTATTACCAGACACGACATTAGACCCAAAATCATTTCAACAATTTTTTCATCATTTTTACTTTTCTTTTACTTTCTGACAATGGTGATAGTCTGACTAATTATATATTTATAAACTTATGATAATAATTAAAAGAAAAAACTAAACCACTTCTCATATAAGTTTTTAGTAATTTTGTTCGTTAGTAGTTAAAATGTGGCACTGTTTTTATGAACTTGTTATGAATTAGAGTTACTTAAATCAAATCTATTTGTGATATAAGTAGTCAACGTATTTTATGAACTGTTATATTTGTTTGTTCTTTGTAATATATATAGTTTATAATTACATGAATCGAAGATATAACATTTGTTTTATTTTAGAGCGATTCATAAGTATTAAACAATATAACAGACAATTTTGCACATTGAAAGGCGTGATACATCCAATATTTCGATTATAATGCAAACGTGAGAGAATGAGATTTTGATGCATATCTATTTTGAAAATCTCAATAAAAAAATATATTTCACTCACACTCATAATTAATATATAATTTTTTAAACATTTCAAACAATAAAAATGTTAAGCCTAATCAAATGAAATAAAAACCAGTATTTACTTTGATTTACAATCATACGAATAACATTTTAGTTGCTTGATTAAATTAAATTGAATATATATTAAGTAAAGTTAAGTTATTTCGTTTATATTTTCGTAGAAAAAGTTTGTTTTTGCCAGAAATTCCGACCAACTTTGGAAAAAGTATGTGTGTATATGCATGTAAGCTGAAATTTAGCAATTTATAGATGTTTTCCCAAAAAACGAATAACCCAATTTAAAAAAAAAATTGAAGTCATTTGATGTGACTCGACAAGTACTCGCGTTGATTAGATTTAGGCGACAATCGGTTGAGCCGTTTCTTTATAATTAGCAGAAAAATGCATCTTTTTTAACTTCCCCTAGGACAAGTTATAGTAATCGCAAAAAAATCGATAATGAAAATTTTTATATATCTTTACTTTTCAAAGGTTTCTGAACATTTTGGCATACCTTAGAAAAAATGGATGTATGCGTGTGTGTTTATGTGTGTGTGTGTGCGTGTGTGTGTGTGTTCGGATATAAATTTTCGTCGACGATTTCGAGAACACGGATGAAGCGATTTGATTAATTCAAAAAACATTCGATTCGTATTGATAAGGAGACGTGCTGATTAGTTTTTGGCGAAGGCAGGTCTAGCCGTTCCGAATATACGGGGCAAAAAGTGCCAAAAACGGTAATCCACTTTTTAAGAGAACGGAGCGTCCGATTTTAATAATTCAAAAAACATTTTACTTGTATTGACAATAGCGGTTTCGGAGATCTAGTAAAAAAAATGACCTTTGGCGATCAAAAATAATCATTAGACATATGCACATAAAATTATCAGATATTTTATAGAGATTTTAACAATAAACATAAATTTTGTTTACATTCCCATCAGTTCCGTACCAATGTTTACACGTTAGACTCTCTATGCAGTTAAAGCAGTACTATTGCTTTGAAAAAAAGTTCAGAACTTTCCAAATATTTCAAAATAAAGAAAAGATTTTTTTTCAAAAAAATAATTTTTTTTCAAAAATTTATAATTTTTCAAAAATGTTAATCTTTTTAAAAAAAATTAATATTTGGGAAGTTCCAACAATTTGTCTTAAGGCACGATGCCATGCGTTCCACTAGTTAAAATTTTATATAGCGATAAAGTCCTTGGTTTGAACTAACATCCTAAAATATAAATGGACTACGAAAAGTGCTTAAGTTACAAAAAAATATTGAAGTTTGAAATAATTGCTGCGTTTTAAGACATTCAAGAGTGTTTGTTTCAAACTATGTTTGTTGCTCTTTTGCAACCGTCTGAAAACCTAAGATTGTCGCTGTAAATTCTACAAAATCGTACCGTTCGTCTTATATTCTTAAAAAAATTTTTTTTTTATTTTATTCACTGCCAATTTCAACAATCAGATTACATTAACACCTATAAGTCAAATGTGAGGGTATTGAAAATCAAGACAAAAGGAAAAAAGATTAAAGTAATTGTTTTGGGATGTTTTTTGAGAGGACTGGGACTAATTTATTATTATCTATGCCTGGAATTTGCTGTGAGTGTTACCCATAGAATACAAGTCGTTGTCGCTGCGCCATGAATTCGCGTATGGCAATACAACGAGTCGCAATACAACAATCTATGCGACGAATACCGAATACAGGGAATACCCCGTTTGCGAAGTCCAATATAAGCTTGTGTGCTGCGTTTACAACATATATACGCAGCCGTATATAATCAGATATATTTACAGTTACAGTATTAAGAACTAGTCGCGTTTGGTTTAAAAAAAAAAATAATTAAGAAGAAAAAAGAAAGACCTTAAAAAACTTAGATTTTTGAAAAATTTAAAATTTTTGAAACAAATTGACATTTTTGAAAAAAAAGATTTTGAAAAAGAAGATTTTTTTTTACATTTTGGAAATTTTTTCAAAGCAATCACGCTGCTTTAGCTGCATAGAGACAATATATAGAAGCGCCTGAGCGCCGCGTCGCGATCTATCGGACAAAGAATGTTACGGAAACCATAGAATTGCAAACAAAATTTATACCTATTATCAAAATCTCCATAAAATATGTGATAATTTGATGTGCATATGTCTAATGATCATTTTTGACCGCCAAATGGCTTTGTTTTCTACTTTTTTACTAGATCTCCGAAACTGCTATACCTGTCTTCTCAAAAATTTTATCATTTTCTCAATACAAGTAAAATGTTTTTTAAATTCTTAAAATCGGACGCTCCGTTTTCTCAAAAATTGAAATACTATTTTTGGCACTTTTTGCCTTATATCTCCGAAACGGTTTGATCTGTCTTTGCCAAAAAACTAATCAGCACGTCTCCTTATCAGTAGAAATCGAATATTTATTTCAAAATCAATTAGAAAATGAGGCGTTTAGTTAAAAATTTTTAACATCGTAACACTACTTTTTTAGAATATGGGAACAAGAGGAAACTGCTCTTTTCGATACGATACTCACGATTTCTCAAATTCTGCCGGACCGATTTACTTGAAATTTTTACAAATTATTCTTTATAGATTTCTCTTCAGTATGAACAACAAAATGTAATAAAAACATTATTTCTTCAGACAGCCGCTATTTTGCGAAAAAAAATTATTTCAACTTGTCAATGATAGCGACATCAGTCTAGACTTAGATTAATTAATAATACATATTTTTTTGATTATTTGGAGGGCTAAAATCATAAAAATAGACAGGTGTCAATATTTGGCTATTTTTAACTTTTATTTATTTTTTATATTCTCAAAACATTATGCAATAATTTATAAAAAAAATAGATCGTCAAAATATTATTTGCCTCTCAATCTCATAATATTCATGACTCTAGACCAGTGAAGTTGCAGAAAATGAAAACTTCAGTATATATATTTTTTAATTATTTTAATAATTATTTCAAGTGTCCTGAAATGGACAACAAGTAAAATACAAATTATCTGACTATTTCCAGTGATTTGTCGATTTTTTTTTCAGTATAAATGAAGAGAATTTAAAACGTATACACATGGGGAGTTATCTCCGAACAAATGTATGTTACCCTGTTTTGGAAAGGACTACTATTTTTAGCGAAAAAAAGATGTCGCTACTAGTTTCAAAAAACGTCAAAATTACTCGCTTAGATTTTCTCGCCATCGCCATTTTGTATCAAAGTTTGTGGTTCGATGTTGTTGTTTCTGTAATTAATTGTATTAAAGTAAGCATTTATGTGAAATTTAATATGGAAAAATGTAACGCACCAATTTGTGGTAACTTCAGAAATAATATAAAATGCATTTCTTTCCGGCTTTGTGAAGTGAACAAATTAGAAATGTCCAATTATATTTCACAGAATAGTTCTCATGTCTATAGTTCACAGTGATATAAGAAGAGAAAGACAATCTGATATATGCCCAGGAGAACACTCTGCAACTCCAGTGGAAAGGGTAATAATAATTCTGAATATTTTAATACCATTTGCTATTACGACTTGATATTAATTACAACATGTTATGTTTATTAGATGTTCACAATTGCAGCAGAATGTAGTGACTAAAATGGCATGTAAAATGTATGACGCATCCATTATATGTTGAGGGAGTTAAGAAGGATAGACAATGCAATAATTTAAGGTATAAATTGCAACAGAGTATAAAATGCTCAGAAATATTCTTAACATTCCAGCCAAAGGACTGCTGTTCTATTGAAACAATCGAATCATAAGGATAGACAATGCAATAATTTAAGGTATAATTTGCAACAGAGTATAAAATGCTCAGAAATATTCTTAACATTCCAGCCGAAAGGACTGCTGCACTGTTCTATTGAAACAATCGAATCATAAGGATAGACAATGCAATAATTTAAGGTATAAATTGCAACAGAGTATAAAGTGCTCAGAAATATTCTTAACATTCCAGCCGAAAGGACTGCTGCACTGTTCTATTGACACAATCGAATCATAAGAGATTCAAGATTTTGTAGAATGCAACTTTATTAATGATTGATTGGAAAGCAAAATAACTATCAAATGCAAGTTAGTTAATGATAAAGAAGAATTACTCATAAATGAATTTTAATTCTTGGAATTTAGTTTTCTATAAATTTTGATATCAATATATATATTTTATGTCTGTAGGATTTAACTTTTTAAATTCGTTCATTATATGTCATTTCTTCTAATTATACTATTCCATTATCTATAGTATATACTCTATATACTACATACTTAGACTCTATACTTTTCTCTTTTATATCATATTGCTATTAGTCATTAAGAAATTAATATTAGTCAGTTCGTGTAATTAATTATACTTATGAAAATTTTTACAATATTTCTGTGTAGTTGTTATATATTCTGATCATTCAGTAATTTATATGATCGTTCCTTGTAAATTTATCATACCATTGTGAATACTTTTTTTAGTTACTTATAATTGTGAAATTATAATACTTATTATTGTGTATATATTGATTATTACATTTATAAAAATTTTATTGTTATGTAAAAATGGTTTGTGATATATTTGAAAATATATTTTGTACTTCGTATATTTTTTTCTCATTTCCAATATAAGAAATTATTTAGGTTTTCTTATTTTGAATTACGTATGCGAACCATATCTAGGAATAATACCAGCGGTTGATTTATATACTGAACAAGTGCTGCCTCCTTTAGATCGCTAAAAATATAAAAATGGAGGTAATGTCAAATGGCCTCAGATAGCGATCTACTTATGTTTACTTATCTATGCGTATACAATTATTGAGTGTTGCCAATGGAGTACCACAGTGTACCACATGTTAGTCTTTAATATAATATTAAAACCACATTTCCTAAATACTACAATTGCCCTAGGCTCTGTGCAAAGAGATCCTCAAAATATTCCTCATGTAAATTTCCGTAACATGAATACTAATCAGACAATAGTAAATCAAGGTCAGCCACAAATGCAATTGATTAAACTTCAACCAATAGGAGGACAACCACAATCAGGCCCTAATCCTATGTTAATACATTAAATGTCTCAACATTTAAATGGACTGAATATTACAATGGCATGGGGACCATACCTGCATCGAGCCATTCTAATCCTAATGATAAATCACAACAAAGGATATTTAAGCAGTGTCAATATGCATTTAGTGGCATCTAAAATATAACTCTTTACATTTAGAATACTTATAAAACAAATTTAACAAACTTTATATTCCTCATTGTTAAATTTATATATAACATGTATATATGTATACTGATGCATAATAATTATAAATACATGAATATAATTCCGAGAGATAGCATAACACCAAAATACCCCCTTAAGATATTTATCTGTATCTATTTATCACTAATTGACAAAGCATAATATTATATACATTTTTTTTTAACTTTCCGTAGGGTAAGTTATAGTAATCGCAAAAAAATCGAAAATGAAAATTTTTATATATCTTTACGTTTCAGACGTTTCTGAATATTTTGGCATACCTTAGAAAAAAATGGATGTATGTGTGTGTTTGCGTGTGCGCGTGTGTGTATGTATGTGCGGATACGAATTTTCGTCGACGATTTCGGGAACACGGATCAACCGATTTAAATAATTCAAAAAACGTTCGATTCGTATTGATAAGGAGACGTGCTGATTAGTTTTTGGCGAAGGCAGGTCTAGCAGTTCCGAAGATATGGGGCAAAAAGTGCCAAAAACGGTAACTTAGTTTTTAAGAGAACGGAGCGTCCGATTTGGATAATTCAAAAAACATTTTATTTGTATTGACAAGATGAAGAACTGATCAAATTTTCATGCAGGTAGGTCTAGCGGTTTCGGAAATCTAATAAAAAAAGTATATAAAAATGCCATTTGGCGGTCAAAAATGATCATTAAACATATGCCGATCAATTTATCGGATATTTTATAGAGATTTTAACAATAAGTATAAATTTTGTTTACATTCCTATGGCTTCCGTACCAATGTTTATCCGTTAGACGACGACGCGGCGCTTGCGCGCTTTGACATTTTGTCTCTATGCAGATAAAGCAGTACGATTGCTTTGATAATAAGTTAAGAATTTCCAAAATATGTCAAAATACAGAAAACATTTTTTTTTTCAAAAAAAAAATTTTTTTCAAAAAAAAGGAATTTTTTTGTCAAATTTATAGTTTCTCAAAAATCTAATTTTTTCGAAATAATTTTTTTTCAAAAATGTTAAGCGTTTTTAAAAAAATAATAATGTTTGGTACGGGAAGTTCCAGCAATTTGCCTTAAGGGCACAATGCCATGCGCCCCACTAGTTTAATTTGTTGTATAACCATAAATTTACTTTAAATTGTATTTCAATAATAAAAGTTTTATTTTGAATCATTAAGACCTTTCGTTTTCTATCGTCAAATTTCGGAAACAATGTTGTAAACGCAGCTTATGGTACTTTCTGTGTGAACACAAAATCGTACTGTAATACTGAAATGTCTGTCATTAGCAGTTCATTTTTGTATCTGTGAGGTTCAGTTTTAATATCAAACAAGAATTTAATATTGATTTTAATATTAGTAAATAATAAACACAAATCGTTTTATAATAATAATGAACATACTCATTTTTTTATGATATTTTGAAGTGAAACTTGGTTAGAACTGGATTGATTGAGGTAACATATTTTCTATATTAGTAATTTTAACTAGAAGTAAATATATATATATATATATATATATATATATATATATATATAATAAATATTATATAATGATAAAATTGATAAAAAAGGACACATGGAGTTCGTTCCATCCGAACCAATCTGACAGTCCGGAACTGTCCGCGCATGCGCAGAACACTTTTTTCTGTTCCATCCAAAATTTCGGATTCCAAACTGTTGCGGACTGTCAGTAATGCGTTCCATCAAGCAGTCCGATGAGTTTGAAACTATCATTTTGTGTTTGTACTCGGCACAAACAAAAACTCCGCAATTTAATACGATTAAAATAGAATGTTATTTAATCTCAAATAGAACATTAAAAATTTAATGAACTTACAGGAGTTCAAACATTGTAGAATATTAGATTAAAGCGACCTAACGATATATAACTAGGAAATATTAAAAAGTAAATTCATTGATATAATTAAGTTATATTTTATTAGAATATGTTTTATATATATATATATATATATATATATATATATATTAAACTTATATTATGTATTAAAATAATAATTATTAATACAATCGAGTGAGCTCCGAGTTCGATCGCGTTGCATGTATCAAATAGTGATGGGCGTTGAATCAACGAACGGTTTTTTTCAACCGTTTCTCCTTCGTTAACGAATCAACCGTTTCGACGCAACGAAACAACTAGTTGAAAAATCAACTGGTTTGTCAATGAGTTAAAAACATGGCGCCCAGTTACTTTTCAACGAAATGCATATTCGTTCGTTGTCGAATATTACAATTGAAAAGCAATAGAGTACTCTAGGGGTTCTTTCTTAAACTTATAATTATTAGGTTCGAATGTATGATATCAACAACCAACTCTTTATCTAGGAATATAACTCTTATACAGTGTTGTCATGTCTAAAGTTTTAACTGTAGATCTACAGTTTTTTGGTAATGATCTCAGTTTTGCAGTTTTGGCCTCGAAATCTACAGTAAAGAAATTGAAAATAAATTTGAAAATCATTCTAGTATTTTTTTATGAACTTATCTTTTGTAGGTTGAGATTTATGTTAATAATTCATTTCATATATAAAATTATTTATAGTAATAAATATTTATTTATTTAACTATCAGCTAGCTTTACATTGATTCGAAATTACCTTCAATAATTAAAACATGACATGATAAATATTACTTATATTGAAATTAATAAAATTAATAAAATAAACAATCTATCGATAAACATTTTGGAATGGTGTTTAGGATAACTATAATAAAACTGTTTGTTTAAAATATCAATTGAATATTTTCTAAACATATTTTTTTTTAAAGAAAGCCTTCAATGCTAAATTATGCAGATCGCCGGGATTACTTGAAAAATCCTATATCTGGCGCCGTTGACAATTATAGTATTATAATCGCTTATTATTGTTAGGTAAAATAAAATAAACTTTTCAGGATGATTGTAATAAAACTGTTTGTTTGAAATATCAATTGAATATATCCTAAACATATTTTTTTCAAAGAAAACCTTCAATGCTAAATTATGCAGATCGCCGGGATTACTTGGAAAATCCTATATCCGGCGCCATTGACAATTACTATAGTATTATAATCATAGATAAACAAGTATAAATGATATAATCGCTTATTGTTAGGTAAAATATAATAAAACTTTTCAGGATGATTGTAATAAAACTGTTTGTTTGAAATATCAATTGAATATATCTTAAACATATTTTTTTAAAGAAAACCTTCAATGCTAAATTATGCAGATCGCCGGGATTACTTGGAAAATCCTATACCTGGCGCCATTGACATTTACTAGTATTAAAATCGCTTATTGTTAGGTAAAATAAAATAAAACTTTTCAGGATGATTGTAATAAAACTGTTTGTTTGAAATATCAATTGAATATTTCCTAAACACATTTTTTTAAAGAAAACCTTCAATGCTAAATTATGCAGATCGCCGGGATTACTTGGTCGTCATCTGCATTTATTTCGCACCTCAAACTCATGTGCAAAATACATTATAGTAACATAACATATTTTTAACTTCCCGTAGGGTAAGTTATTGTAATGTGCCGAAAATCGAAATTGAAAATTTTTACATTTCTCGACGTTTTGAAGGTTTCTGAACATTTTACTGGCATACTTCAGAAAAAATGGATGTGTGTGTGTATGTATGTATGGATACAAATTTCCAGTCACGTTTTCGGGCACACGAATCAACCGATTTGAATCGTTCAAAAAATATTCGATTTCTATTGATAGGGAGATGAGCTGATTAGTTTTTGGCAAAGGCAGGTCCAGCAGTTACGAAGATAAAGAGCAAAGAGTGCAGAAACTAAAAATCGAGTTTTTGAGAAAACGGAGCATCCGATTTGAATTATCTAAAAAACATTCAGTTAATAATGATTGGGAGAAGTGTTTATTAGTTTTTGGTAAAGGCAGGCCAAGCTATTTCGAAGATACGGAGCTAAATGTATAAAAATGGCAGTTTTTTGAGAGAACTAAGCGTCCGATTTAAATGATTCAAAGAACTTCCTGTTTATCCTAACAAAATAATTGATTTTGAAAAATTGTATACTTATAGAAAATAATTCAGATTTCAATTTCAATTCTAGCTAGAGTTTTAAAGCTCACTTATATACTTTAAATGAATTGACTATGTGATTCAGTTTATATAATTCTTATAAATATTGGACAATGTTACAGTATTTATAATAATCTATTTGAAAACATTTAATATTCCTCGAACATTTTGTTACGGCACCATAGCCTGGCACGCGTGCCATGGGTTGCCGATGCCTGGTCTGCAGCATGCCTTGAAATAAGTCCAAGAAATCATCCCCCTCAGATGTATAAATTAATGTAACCCGCCCCTTACGGGCGGGGCTAATATTGTTAATTTTAATTTTTAATAATTTTTATTTAGTATAAGTTCAGAACTCATCCCGATTACTTTTATCTTAATTACGCGCTTGCCAATTTTTTAAAATTGAAAGATACGTTATTCAGTAAAAATTTGAGTTAAAATTTTGTGCTTTTTAAATAAAATTGTTATACCATTATCTATCATTATATCATTAGTATTTAAAATAGTTTTTAATAATAATTTATTTTAGATTTTATCAAATATATTTTAATTAGTTTTAAATTTAGTAAATAACATAGTTTAATAATTTTATATATTTTATATTATCGATTAGTTTTACAATAAGTTTAAATTTTAAGAAATATTGTTTTTTTTCAAATTCTTTTTTAAAAAAATGGCATCTCGTAGAAATACTAGTGTATTGTGGTACCATTTTGAAAAAATTGATAGTATGAAAGCAAAGTGTAATGTGTGCAACCAGCAGATAAAGTATAGTTCAACAACCGCCAATTTAAAGAGTCATTTAAAAAGAAAGCATATTTCCATATATGCTTCGTTGCAAGAAACTGAGGCAGGAAGTTCACAGCAGACTCGTATTTCACAGTATATGAGTAATTCCGGAGAGGCTATACCAAGTTCTAGTAGTGCTCAACAACAACCTACAAGTGTGCGTCAGAGGGTATTGGAGACTTTTATGACTAAAAAAATTAGCAGCGAACAAAAAAAATGATTGACCAAGATTTGATGGATATGTTCATTGATAGTTTCCATGCATTTTCATTAGTTGAAGAAAGAGCGTTTAAAAAGTTGATGCGGTGGATACCAGGATATGTTCTTCCATCTAGAAAGACTGTTTCAGGATCCATGCTCGAGGAGCAATACAACAAGGCAGTTGAAAATACAAGAGCAGAAGTTTTAGCTGAAGCACAAACTATTTGCATAACATTAGATGTTTGGACTTCTAGGGTTACTGAAGCATATGTGGCAGTTACAGGCCACTATATTACAGACAATTATAACTTAAAAACTGTTCTTCTCGGATGCTGTCAATTTGAAGGAGCGCATACATCAGAAAATCTAGCAATAGAAATTCAAACAATCCTTGACAATTGGAAATTGCTTCAGAAGGTAAATTTTGCCATTAGTGATAATGCCAATAACATGAAAAAAGCCATTAAAGACATTTTAAAAATAAAACATTATGGATGTTTTGCACACACTATTAATTTAATAGTAAATGATGGCCTCAAGTTGATTAAGAGTGAGATCGATATAATAAAGAAAATTGTTGGCCACTTCCGGAGGAGTGTCACTGCATGTGAAAAACTGCAGAAATACCAAATGCAGCAATATGGACACACAAAAAAATTGATTCAAGATGTCGAAACAAGGTGGAACTCCACCTTTTACATGGTGAAACGATTTGTCGAGGTTGAAGAGTCAATAAGGATGACAATGAGTGTTTTAGATGCAAATCTACCATCATTGACTTCTGAAATGTGGAAAATGTTGCCACAACTATGCTTAATTTTAAAACCATTCGAAGATATTACCACCACTGTAAGTGGTGAAAATTACCTGACAGGAAGCCTGGTAATAGTGTTAGTAAGATGTTTGAATGAGTCATGCAACAAATTATTGGCACGAAATGACCTGTTGCCAGTAATTAGAAGAATCACTGAAATTTTTAAATCAGGAATTAATGACAGATTTCCAAATGTCGAAAGGAGCAAGACATTTGGAATCTGTACATTATTAGATCCTAGGTTCAAAATGAAGGGTTTCTCAAACATAGAAGATGCAAAAATTATTAAAGAAGATCTTAAGCAAAAAGTAGCAAAAATCATTGAAGAACGAAGACTTTTAGAGAATGTTGTTCCCATGCCATCAACGTCCATGGAAGATATTGATGAGTATAACCCATGGACTATTTTAAATAACCTAGTAGGAGCATCACTGCATCAATCGACTCCACTATGTGCTGCTATAAAGGAAATTGATATATATCTCGCTGATGATAGCTTGCCTATGAAATCTGCAGAAGGTATATTAAATTGCCCAATGCAATGGTGGAGAAATCACCAGCATGTTTATCCAAATTTGGCGAGATTGTTTAAAAATCAGTGCAATGTTGTAGCTACCTCCGTTCCTTGTGAAAGGATCTTTTCAAAAGCAGGCATGGTTATTACGGATAGAAGATCGAGACTACAAAATACAAAAGTCGAAAAATTAATGTATTTAAATGTAAATTTAGATCAAAATCGATTTGATAAATTTAAAATTGTTAAAATTTTAGTTTTGTTATGTAACAAATTATATAATCTATTTGAAATTTATAATTATAGTTAAAATGTATAATATATGTAAATATTTGAATAAAATGTACTTATAAAAATGATTTGTTTAATTTATAAGATTTCATAAAAACTTATATTTAAGTTAATCTTCGTTTGATTTTTCAGGCTATATGGAATATCATGTCATATAAAAATCTTCTTAGTTAACAAGGTCATAAATAGATAGATGAATACTAACTTTCAAATGTTTTGTTACTAATATGTTTCGTTATATCCATAACATTTTTAATTTGAAATTACTTGAAGTCATTTTTTAAACCTAACCTGAAAATAAATTATTGAGTTATATATAAATTATTTGTTTATTATGTGAAACATTGCTATTTTAATTATAAATTCGTTGTTTCAGTATACTATATCCTTTTGCTTTAAAATTAAAAATAAACAATATGATGGGATACACAGTTCAACTTCTAAACCTTGTTATTGATCAAATGATTTGACATTTAACTGGGACGAACATAGATAAGGAACAAACTTCATTAACTTTCAACGAAACAGTATTTTCAACTCATAGTTATTAACGTTGCCAGCGTTGAATCGTTAAAATCAACTATAGTTGAAAATTAACTAGTTTTTCAACTAGTTGACGAGAACCCGTTAACCGTTTCGTTTCGTTGACGGAAAAAACGTCAACGACCCATCACTAGTATACAAAACCAAACCATTGCCAACTGCCATGAAAAAATCAGAAAGAGTTTGATCTAGTTTGAAACAGTTTGAAACAGTTTTCGGACTGTCAGATTTGCTCGGATGGAACGAACCCATGGAAGTGAGTTAGTTTGTGTCTACTGTCAATTAACAAAATAAAAATGGTGTCCTATAATTTATACTTTTTTGCACAGAAAAAGTTATGCGTTTTAATGCTTTCTTATTGCTAGGTATTTCAAAATCAATATATTTATTTATTTATTTATTTTGCAAGCAGTCAGTATGGTATGATATTATTATAATAAAGCTCATGTCAATATTTTACAAGTTTTTATATGATTTAACTAAATATTTTGTTATTTATTTATTTATTATTTATTTTGTTTATATATATATATATATATATATATATATATACTTATTTATTTTTAGTTAATTCTAATCATTTGAAAAATGTAAGTAGTTTGTTTCATGAAATTAGTGTTAATACTGTTGTAACATTACAATTAATAGTAATAAAAGTAATAAAATAGCTAATAGTTAATTAAATTATATTAAATCTACAAAATATTGACTTGAGCCCTATTATATTATTATACCGACGGCTTGTAAATAAATCAATAAAAATAAATAAATAAATAATTTTTTTATCAAATTAATAAGTATTTTTACAATATATATATTTTTTAAAAAAATGACAATTATTTAAACAATTGTTTAACTAATAAGTGTTTAATTTAATAAGTGTCTTTATATTATGATTTTTTATTGACAAATTAATAACTATTTTTAATATAAGAATTTTGTTTTTCGAAGTTTTAGTTTTTTTTTTATGAAATAAGTATTTTGTTTAACAATTTTATAATTACTTTTAAATATAATTATTTTCAGTTAAAACATTAATAAGTATTTCAACAATAAGAATTTTATTTAACCAATTTATGTGTATTTTTTACATATTATCATGTTATAAATAATTAATTTGTAACAAAAGAAAAACTAACATATACATTATATATATTAAATGTTAAATATGAACAATTAAATCACTCAGATTTTTAACACACACTTTATTTAATAATTACAGACATTTCGAGACCATGGTATGCTTCATCTTCAGTGTAATTTCAAAACAAATACTAATTCATTATTTAATATTTTATTAAAAATTTATATTTAATTTATATATATATATATATATATATATATATATTGAATAATGTATTAGTATATTTTTTTTACTGTTTTGAAATTACACTGAAGATGAGGCATACCATGGTCTCCTCGAAACGTCTGTAATTATTAAATGAAGTGTTTGTAAAAATCTGAGTGATTGAATTGTTCATATTTAACATTTATATATAAATAATATATATATATATATATATATATAACAATAATAATTTAGGATTGCAATATAAATATTTAGTTTAACAAATTTATGAGCATTGCATATATTGCATATACAGTAGAACCTCGCTGATCACTATTAAAAACCAGAGGGTGTTGGATTACTGGATTATAGTGAAAAAGTCATAAGATAAAGCACGAACAGAAATAGCACAAACATTTTCAGCTGCTTTCTAAAACATTGTCCCGTGTTGGATTATTCGAAGTGATGTAGTATTGGATTAGCCAGATTCTACTGTATTATTAATGCTTCTCAGTTACATTTATTTATTTACCAATTAATGCCTAATTATTTAATGTACATGATTTATATATGTACATGGAAGACATATGTACAAAACTGATTTTAGTAAGTTTCCAGGATATTTTCAAAATGGAGCGATTTGAAAAGAGGGATCTAAGACAACTAATCAATGTAGAAGTGAAAAAAGCTACAAACTTGGATGATATCAAAGAAAAATATAAAAGTAAAATTTCAAATGTAACAAATGCCTACATTGAGAGAAAATATGTTAAATATTGTTTCAAACATTGGACTGAGAGATGCATTAAAGAAATAAAAGAAACTAGTAGTACAATAGACATTGCAGCCTTTAAAAAGATGTTTTCGGAAATTCATTCTGTACAAAACTTGGATCAAGTTCCTGCACCTTTTAACTATAATGCTCATTATAACCTTTTAATATCTAATTCCAATCTCATATCAAATCTTTCTGCAGAAACAGAAAATATAATGCGATGGAAAAGTGAATGTTTGGCTGCTTTAAAAATAGTCAATAAAAATTATATAAAGGATCTCAATATCATTGAAGCTTGTTTCGAACTGATTATGACAATTAAAAAACAAGACTTTAGAAAGCTGCATTTGCAGGAACTTTTATCACGAGAGAAATTGACTTATCATGAATTGTATGATGTGTTCAAGATGAGTCAATGTTGTCAAAATTCCAAACTGCTTATTTTTAAAAATCTATTTTACAACATGCTGACTGGAATAACGAGTTGAATCTAAAAACTTTGTTGTGGGATAAAATTGCTGACTTTGTTGAAGATGCCAAGATTGAAAAAATTAATTTTGAAGGACGTACCGCCTTTCGTGTATCGGCAATGAATTTAGTTATGAGCGAAGTTGTACCACGATTAGAAAAACGGTTTAAATCTTCTGACAATATTTCAGAAGTTCATTTTGTTAGTGGTTGTGTTGTTCACGCTGATGTAAGTTTGACGAAGGACGTATGGCATGGAAAGAACATTGTGGTATATACTCGTCTCTTAAAAGTTCATGGTTGCATCATCTGGGACGTATCAGGTCTGGACAACATGCATACTTATAAGACAGCTGCAGATACTGGCCGTTCTGGATTTGGAGATGACGGTGAAGACGGTTTTGCTGGTGAAAGTGGTGGAAATGTTTTAATTGAAGCCATTTCTGTAGATGGTGTGGAAAATCTTAGAGTAGTCTCTAATGGTGGAGCAGGAAGTTCTGGACAAGACGGCGGTAATGGGAAAAATGGCATAAACGGATACGGAATTGAACCAAATTCTTTCAAAACTCTGTTTCCTTCGACTTGTAATTTTAAAACTTCATATAAAACAATTGAAGACGCCTTTATGGACATAGACACTTCCGATTACAAAAGATCTTGGTGGCTTGGCCAACATGTGTATTTAGAAGGAAAAGCTAAGGGTGGTTTTCAGGCAAAATATATTGCGCATTCTATGCATCGCTCACTTGTTCTTTGTGAAGGTCTACCAGGAACGCCTCCCGGTTTTGGCGGCCAACGTGGTATGGGAGGACAAGGAGGAAGCGGCGGTCAAATTGTGGGTATCGCTGGTGAAAGTCAGTCTGGAGCAGACGGTCCTGATGGAGACGAAGGCTTCAATGGAATACCAGGAAAATGCGGTTGGGACATAGGTCATACAGACTCTTTTTCAGGCGGAATGATCTATGAGGGTTTTGATAAAAATAGTAAATTGATCCTGCAAAATCATAAATATTATGTAAATGACAGCGTTTGGTGTGAAAGGTTCAAAGCATATGTTTCTTTTCAGTCCACCAAAATCTGTGAAACAAACATAGTGCAATTTAAGAAAAGGTGTGACCATAAATTCAGGTACGATAGGCAGCCACAAGCACAGAGCATTAGAAGGAAACATATCTCTAAAGAAAAAATTGACGAAATTTATTCAAAATTAATCGATCATGCAACTGAGGCTATGGACGATATCAGAGATGGATTGAAAAATATTGAACAAAATTTGATATTTGATAATTACCAAAAATCTGCAGAAGAAAAAGAAACGACTCAAGAAAAAAGAACACATTAAGCATTGTTTTGAATGTTTATCTCAAAAAAATAACATGTTCGGAAAATATAATTAAAGTTGATTCAAATTCTGCTTGTAATTACGATACAAAATTATTTGAGGCATTCTCGTCAATAGACAAAGATTTAAATTTACAGAAATTTCGATTCGATGAAATTGATGACGTAGCAAAGTTTATTACAAAAAATCTGAATCATCACAAAAAACATCGTACACATGGAAGATTAGGTTTATTAAATGATTACATACATGGAATAAATGCAATGAGCTGTGAAAATGTTTTCAATTTAATCACCAAAGATTACAGAAGATATGATAATAAACCTCTAATTAACTGTATACAAAATATGTTTTAAAAAATTGATAGTCATGACGAAAACATTGAGAAACATTTCAAAGAGTATGAAGACTTTCTTGAAAATAAAAGGCGAGAAATAAATTATTTATTGAAATCATTTGTGCTTGAACTTGCAAAGCCGAATAACAAAAAAATTAAAAGATTATTGATTTCTGGTATGTATGATTCTAGAAAAATTAGAGAATTTGAATTTGAACTGGCAAAACCTAATTTAGAACTTAATGCCGCATATAATAAACTATCCGATTGCCTAAAATCCGAGTTTTTATGGAATAATGCTTGCACGGATGATTATCTTTTACTCCAACTGAAACAAGAATTTTCAACAAAGGGAATTCAATCGAGCAGTTTCAGAGAGGTATTATCTTACATCTACAACCGTAATATTAAGTGTTATACTGCTAAAGATGGTGAATGCAAAACGGTCGGTAGTCATAATCCAATGGCCAAACATCACGTTCATTTACTTTATGACGATGGAAAAGTTTACGAAATGAATGTTGATGTGACCTATATGCAACTGTATCAAGAACGTAGAACTAGGGCTGCCAAGTACAAAAATATACTTAATAAATTGTTCAATGCTAATGAAAACGAGATATCTGATTACATAGCCAAAAAATTATATACAACACGGTTCAATCATAAAAGAATTTACCAACATAAAATTAATGATGATATTCAAAAAATTATATCGAGCTGTAAAGGTTTTAATAAGAACGAAATTCTCACACAAAGACTTAGAAAATTGTCACCTACATATATTGTTGATAATCCAATTTTGTATTATTTGATGAAAAGGTTTTCTTGTGAGCAAGTTAAAATATCTTTTGAAGAACTTTTGTATCTAATAAACTCGGTGATATTCTTCTTTCTTGATGATGAAGACAGCTATTTCTTGATTAACTGGATTATTGTTACGCACAAACAAGAAGAATGGCTGAATCAATTGCTGTTTTTGAAATTGCAAAACTATTTTAGAAGTTCATTGAAAGTAAACATCGAAGAATGGAATAAACTACTTTCAAAATGCGCGAACAGACCTTTGTTGCTATTATTTTTTTAGTGAAATTACAAGAATCTTGTATTAGTATTGGGAATGTTGATGAAATTTTCACTTATTTAGCTGAATTGCCAAAAATTTCAACGACGGAATTTGAAGTACTTGGTTTATCCGAGTGGCAACATAAAGTTAAAGAAATTGCCTACAAGTCCATGATAAACAACGACTTAATTATGCAGAATCTTCTGATATTCAAATTGCATCCATTACTCGTTACGCTCTTTCTATACATAATATTTAGGAAAATCTTTAACTTATAAATTAATCCAAATATTATTAGATAAAAAGCCAGAATTTTCATCTTTGACAAATGTTTTATATTGGTTTCAAACAGTTTGCGAAGAGACTTGTATTAGTGAGACCGAAATAAATTTGCTAAATGACCAAAACGAAAATGTTTGGATAGAGATTTTAAAAGAAAAATATTTAAAGACTTCTGATGATAGAAGTTATGAGGAACTTGTGAATATAATTACTTCAAAGAATAATGGAAGTACATTGAAAGTTATGCAACGATTCAAAATTGGTCTGATAAAGAAAAGCATTTCACAGATTTTTTTGAAGCTAGATCAGTGGTTTCAAAAGTCTGTAAAAACAGATGAAGAAATTCTATTTGCTGTGGACAGAATTATAGAACGAGAAAAGAAGGGAATAAACTTCGAGATGCCCAAAAGTTGTCGGTTATGATCTTATTGAAGAACTCGAATATATTTGCACAAATATCAACAGGAGAGGGTAAATCATTGATAATCGTTGCATTTGCGATTATAAAAGCGTTGAGGAAAGAAAAAGTTCACATTGTTACGAGTTCAACTGTTTTGGCTAGACGAGATGCTTCAGAAAACATGTCTATTTTTAAGGCATTTGGGGTCAATGTCGGGCACAACTGCGACGAGAAAATGGATCTAAGAAACAGTCGCATTCTAAAAACATGGTAATTATGGTGAACTTTCATATTTTCAACGGGATTATTTGCTAGACAAATTTTATGGTGAGACATTTTGGGCGACACAACTTTTGATAATATTATTGTAGACGAAGTGGACTGCATGCTTTTGGATAGAGGAAACAATATGTTGTACTTGTCCCATGACATGCCGGTTTCGATAAACTAGAATCGGTTTATATATTCATATGGAAATGGATAAACAGCCTGTGACGTCCGAATCAGGATTTTCAGAAGTATTCGACGAAGACAAATTAGAGAGAGCAGTTTTGAGTCAAATTCATAACATCATTGACATGTCAGACTTGAAGAGCATCGATAACGATTTGAGCGAAAATGAAATCGAAAAGCTATGGCACGAGTTGATAATATCATATCTTGGATTCCAAGGCAGAGTGATAAATAAGAATCTCGCAGCAAATAATATCAGAAACTCGCTGACAGATAAATTTAAGATCTATTCTTCCAGGTTAACGTTTTTTTTCAAGAATTGCGTAGAGAAACCAAAAGAAATTTTATACCCAATTATTTAATTGGTTTTGTTGAACTTCATTTACGAAATTGGATCAAGAACGCCATCACAGCTTTATTTATGCAAGAATTTCAAAACTATATAATCGATGTCGACAGAAGTGGAACTGTCTCAGATAGGAATCCAAAAGTGGTTATTTTGGATACTGACACAGGTACCGACCAAGTGAATTCTCAATGGGATGAGGCTTTGCACCAATTTCTTCAGCTGAAACACGGTTGTAAGTTGACCATGCAAAGTCTAAAAGCGTTTTTCATTTCAAACGTGTCATATTTTAATAAATACGCACGCAAATATGGAGTCACAGGCACTTTGGGCTCTGACCAGGAGATGAGCTTGTTGTCCAGTGTGCATGAGATGAAGACCGTGGTCATTCCTACATCAAAACAAAAGCAATTTACGCCATATGAAGCGATTGTATGTCAAAACGACGACGAATGGACCAAGGCTATAAAACAGGAAGCACTTGGCATTGTAGCTGCCGGAAGATCTATTCTGATTATTTGTGAAACCATGAAAGATGTTAATTATTTGGAAGCGGTATTGAAAAGTGCAGAACACCAGGAATATGAAGTGGTCACCTACGTACGAGAGTACGAGGAATTCCGCATCAAAGATGGTTTGCAATGCGGTGTGATCATAATTTCCACGAACTTGGCCGGTCGTGGTACAGATATTAAACTATCGGAGAGACTATGCAACCAAGGTGGTCTTCATGTTTGCATGACATATTTGCCAAGCAGCTTGAGGGTCGAGGAGCAGGGCTTCGGTAGGGCTGCCAGACGTGGCGAAAGGGCTCCGGACGACTTATTGTTAAAATGATAAGGTAGATGATGTGACTACATCGAGTGAATTGAGAGATGCGCTGAACTAAGACGGATATCGGAAGTCAAATCGTATTACGACAATCAAATCAGAACTGAGGAAGAATATTTTGGTAAATTCAAGAAGTTTATGATAAACTCAAGCGCAAAGTTGGAAAAGTTGGAATAAAAAAGTTTGTTGGACAGTTGCTTGGACAGTTGGGCGATTTGGCTGGATAGCGTCTCCAAATACATGCGCGATATACAGGAAGCGCAGTGC